CTTTTCGTTGAAGTGAAAGGATAAAAGGAAATGCTATTTTTTGTTCATTCATTTCAAAGTATAGAAAAAGAAACAAACAAACAGAAAACAATTCACAAGTCTTATTCGATAGAAAATCGTTGAACACGACAACTAACTTGATCGGCGACATAGAGATTACCATGTCGATCGAAAGACAAACCAATGGGGGCAAACAGCTGATTTGCTCCTGATCCTTGACCATTTCCACCCACAATTACAGTACCTTGTTTGTTGTCTCCTTGAGCCCAACGCATTACTCGATTATTCCCCTGGTCTAGTACATAGAGTGTACCCAACTTATCAGCGAAGAGTCCATAAGGAGAATTAAATTGTGTCAAAGCATTCCCTTGGCCTTGTCCTCCAGCGACCACGATGCCTTCTTTTGCACCTTTACCCCATTTCATTACACGATGATTATCTCTGTCTGACACGTAGACATTATGTTGTTGATCGACAAAGAGATATGTAGGCCCGTTGAGCTGATTAAGACCATTACCTTGTCCATTACCACCAGCTACGAGAATGCCATTCTTCTCACCCAATTGATATCGTCTTACTTCATGATTTTTGATGTCAGAGACGTAGAGATTTCTCTGTTCATCCATTGCTACTCCCCAACATCGGATGTTATCGATGAGCATTTCTCCTTGTGTTGTACCACTATGACGAGACCATTGTACAACTCGTTCAAAACCTGCATCACAAATAATGAGATTATCCGTCTCTTTGTCGATCAATACATCAGTTGGAGCATACAATTGATTCAATCCGCTTCCTTGGCCGCTACCACCAGCAACAACTTGTCCATTCGTTGTATCACCGTTCTTCCATTGCATGATACGATTACTGTAGTAGTCAGCAATAACCACTGTTAGATCATCATCAACGAAGAGACCATAAGGGTAGTTGAGTTGATTAGTGGCAGTCCCAGCCCCGTTACCTCCAGCAATAGCCACTCCGTTCTGTTCCCATTTAGCATCAGCAGGAATATCAACTAGAAGAGAAAACATAAGAATAAAAGGAGATATCTCTCTCTATCGCGCTGAAGTGTGGGTGTGATTCTTCTGCTAATCTATACCCACACCCAATCATGGAGATAATTAATCGATCAATCGAAATCGACCCTTAGGAATAGATCGCCTAGTAAGAATAGGTTTCTCAGTGATGAATTGCATTACGGCTATTCAAAAACTATTTAATATCTATCAATTGAAGATTCTTCGTACGATATACGGATTCTTGCATCGCATCGCATTTCGTGTACGACTGAAACTCGAATATCATCTAGTTTCAGTTCTTAATTTACGGATCACCAACACCGTTTTTTAGAAGAAAACAACCTGATCGGTAAGCGAACACTTTGACTAATTCTGAAATTCAATCTGTTAGGTAGTGGCGCTATCTGCGACCACTACCTCTCATTGTTCTCATATCTATCTATTGGTCAAGAGACCTAAGTGAAGTCGGATTGGAAGAAGTTGTTGTCGTAGTTCTTGTTATGTGTAGTTAGTTTTGTTTAAAAAGAAATAAAAGATGTT